AAATTCATCTTAATTTTTTTATCATTTATTTTTATTTTTACTTAAATTGCACAAATATCACGCACACCAACCGCTAGTTAATAATTGAGAAGGCGTGTTATATTTTTAGTAAAAATGGATTCTAAGGGCATCTCCAACGATTTATCAAATATTTCATTAAATCTAAGTAAAAAAAATATGAATTCCTCTATTTGATATCAGCCACTCCAACGGTGTCGTCATCAAAACATAAGTCGACCGGAAGGACGTTCGGTCGGTCAACCGACAACTGTAAACCCTTTATAAGATGGTTATAGGCAATGTGATCCAAGACAAAGCCCTACTTTTGAAGCTCCTCCACCAAAGCATGTGCAGTGCTTGTAAACCATGTACTGCATAGCTTTTCAAGGACATCATGACAAGTATGCAATCTTGTGAGAGGATATGCCACCAGCATCCTTTCAAAAAGCTCGTGTACTCCCTTGATAAGTCCTTTCTGGCATAGACAACCTCAAAGAGCTTTAAAATCCTTTAGCTTGGGTAACCATTTATCTAGACGTGCAACTTCCTAACAATTGAGGAGTCCTGTTAGGTTTCTTTCCCTGAGTAAACTAGTTATTAAAGCAGTACGTGTTTCCATCTTGATTTTTGAATGCTTTTGGATCATGCCATCAAAAATTAGCCTAGCATTGTGTGTGAATCCCTTTTCACTGAGTGCTTGGACAAGTAGATTGAGAGTTTCTTGATCAAGCTGATTAGTCAACTTTGGTGGTCATTCGGGAGTTGACTAGGCAGTCGACCGGTCAATGTAAATTTTTCACAAATTATGCTTTGAGGTGGTCATTAGAGGGACATCCAGTCGGACGTCCAGTGGGTCCACACTGAACGACGTTGTACAGTAAATTGCTGAAAACGTGCAAGACATCCTCATTTTGTGTAACTACGCAAACCCGTCCCTATAGGTTACCGTTGTAACCGATCAGTAATCCTTGGATTATCAAAAGCCTCTTAATGAAATAATATATAATTAGGGGCTGCGGAAGCAAATATACCAAAATACATAGTCCATAGAGCCGTGTAGACATACATGAGACAGAAATTTAAAACCTTATATAATATATATGCATATACGCAACATCATAATACAGTAATCTTCTTCACATTTAATACAATTGTAGCCCAAAAGGGAAATGCCCCAATATACACATAACAAAAGACTTGATCGTATTACTATTAATACTAGGTCTTAACTTATGCCGTTTAGACTTGACTTGCACACAAAAGGGAACCTCCTCGGAGGCACAATGGCTAGCTGACAAAACAAAGATACCAGATCCTCAACTTTAGGTCTGATCACGCACCTGGTCACCTATATACATAATATAAATAGTGAGCGGAACCCCAGTGAATAATAACAGAATAAAGATTTTAATAAATGATGCCCAGAACAGATTTCATATCTCAAAGCAAATCAGAAACATAATCAGGTTTATAGCAAAGTCAGAATCATAGTCTTATTGATATTCAAATCATGTATGGTACATCTATTAGCATAAACATGTTTCTTTGGTCAAGCATATCAAGTTCCAAAAGGAACCTCTGGTACTGGGTAACATATCTCATACATGGGCCACGGTATAGTTTTCCCCGGGCGAGGGCCTGTGCCACGGTATTTCTTCCCCAAGCAAGGGTCTTATGACCATAAGCCACAGTATTATGTCCTCTGGGCGAGGGCCTCTGCTAAAGATTCTATAATTATTTTTCAAAGAAAATTGGACATTCATTCATTCATACAAAACATAGCATTTCAGAAAACTGATTATTTCGTATCATCAGAAAATATTTAAAGTCAAACATAGCTTTACAGAGTTATTACTTATAAATAGCTTTGGCAGTTAACAAATGGATCAACCGCTCACAGCGCGTGACCTATACCAAACATAACAGATACGTATAATGAAACACACACTCGGTTAATACTTAACTTATTTCGTTTCATTCTTAGTGTGTTCTTAAGTTTTAGCCTCTTATTGAGTCTTAATCATGGCCTAGGAATGCCTAGGATGCAATGAGGATGCTAAAATGTACTTGAAAACACTTAACAAAAATTGCTGAAAATAGGAGTCTCACTCTAGCGTAGTTTCCTTTGCTCAAGCGGACATGCAAAAATGTAGTGGTCGCTTGAGCGCACATTCCTTCGCTCGAGCGGTCTGCAAAAGTACTGGTTGCTTAGTTTTTCCACTCGATGCTCGCTCGACGCTCGCTCGAGCGTGAGACTCAAGTCCTCGCTCTAGCGCAACTCTTGTTGCTCGAGTGGTCTGCAAAACACTTAGACTTCTGAGAGTATGCATTTCACGCTCGAGCCAACCTTTGGTCGCTCGAGCGGAGGTGCAAGACACAGAGTAGTTGCTCGAGTGTAGACTTTTTCGCTCGAGCGTAGGAGTAGAATTCTAGAATTTCCAGATTCGCTTCCAAGCTCAAAATTCAATTTCCAAACCTTTAAAACACATTCTTTTGGGCCAAAACTTAGTAAAACATTAAGAAACTTATAGTACATGATGAATTACAAATTATTTTGCAAAAGTAAGCCCAAAAGCTAAGCCAATTGTACTAAACAAAGCTTGAAACTTAAATAACATAACTCGTATGTAATGTCATGAATTTTAACTCCCCAAAACATGATCAAATGAGTCATTAAGCTCAAAAACAAGTTGAATTCTTTTAACAAAACCAAGATATGAACATGCATATGGGAATTCTTGTAAAAACAACTTCAAAACTTTATAATATGCACATGTATGCATGAGTCATGTTTAATTCTATCATCTAATCTCAATTCTCTTTGAATAATGCATAACAACTTCATTTCTTGTTGATTTCACATGTAATTGAGCCTAAGGTTACAAAATGTGAGTTGAAGTCTTACCTACGGCTCAAATTCTTCAAGTTGGAGTTTAATTCCTTTGAATTCATTTCAATCTTCTCCAAGTTCTAACAATCACTCTACAATTGAGCTCAATTTCCTTCTCTTCCACTCTCACACGTTTTTTATGGTCAAGCAAGAGGAAATGGAAGTGTAAAAGTGTGTAGGAAGTTATGAGGTGGCCTTCTATAAGCTTGATTAATAAATTCATTAATTTGGGCTTAATTAAGCATTAATTATTCTAATTATTTCGTTCCGAATCAAATTTTAATTAAATCTACTATAAAATTCTAAAAATTCTAATTAACAGATAAATCAAGCCAATTTCGTGATCGGATGCCGATAAGGCCTTCAATTTACAGAACAGAACAGAACAAAAACTCAAACAGATATGTCTGCGATGAACAGGTGAAAACACAAATAATGCAACACATATGCAATTAATTCAAAATTTGATCTTAATAACTTATTAGGCATATTAAATCATGGATTAACGTTAATTATAAGTTGGGGTTGTTATAGTTTGGTGAAAGATTTGGGATGTTCTCAATTTGATACAGGTTTAATGAAACCATTGGAGACTAAAAAAGTGTACTTTTTCATCAAATTTGAATTTGGTGATGGATTTGATTAAATGTCGGAGATGGCTTAACTTAAAACATATTAGACATTTCAAAAGATTTATCAAAATTTTTACTTTTGGCAGTAGGTTTATTTGATTTTTTGGATTAAAATAGTACTAAAAGGCAAAATAAATTAAAATAATAAATAAGGCAAAATGTCATATTAAATCCATAATCATTTAACTTTCCCCTCCCCAAATATCACATTTAACTATAAAAAAAAATTAACTCTCTTTCCAAACACAATTATTTTAACCTATTAAAATATTTAAAAATTAAAATATCCTATTAAAATAACCAATTCTCAAATACCCCCAAATGTGACAGGCGTGGAATGTTACTCTTCCAACTCACAAAAAAGTGACATGGAATACTTGCACCAAATACTTTGGCCTTGTTTGGTTTGTGTTTCCTAAAAATTTTTGGGAAAAATTCTCTACAAATAAGTTTTCAAAAGTAATCAAACCAAACAAATTTTTCCAAAAAAATTTCCCAAAACTTGTTTGGTTTACACGTTTTCCAAACAAATCTCTCTCTCATACACATCAAATCAATCACTTTTTCCAAACTCTCTCACAAAATAATTTTTCAAAACATCTTTTGAAAAAAACCAAACCAAACAACTTTTCGTACTTTTTATTTCTAAAACTCATCTCTCAAACTCAAACCAAACATACCCTTTAAGTACCGTTTGATTTTTTACGCTCAATTTTATTTTTAAACCATGATTTGAGTGAAATATATTAACCAAATATATTTTTAAAATTACTTTAAAAATTTCTCTTTTTATTATTATTATTATTTATTATTAATCAATCAAATAATTACTTTTTTTTCTTATCTATTCTCTCACATTTTCTCATATTTTATATATCAATCAATAAAATAAAAATAAAAAAACTACAAATCATCTAAAAATTATTTTCAAAACTAACAAACAAACAAATTTTCTCTTAATTAGAAAACTCAAAACACAATTCTATATTCAAATTATAATTCAAAAACTAATCCAAGGGCCGTTTAGAGCATCCACAATGGGATGAGTAAAATTGTTTGTTAAAGTGTGTTATATGACAAAAAGTAATAAAAGTGTGGCCCAAAAATGTGTTAAGGTGTATTAAGAGTTTATTAATTTTAGACAATGAGTGTGATACAACAGATGTGTTAAAATAAATAAATCCTCCATGAAAGGCTTTCTCTCTCTCCACGGAAAGCTCTGCTGAAGATGAAGGCAGCATGGGTCCAAAGGAATTGGATCGGACGTCCGGCCAGTCAACGACAATTTTTTTTTTTTTCTCTCAATGGGTTCGAACATCCAGAAAGCAACTGACTGGACATCCAGTTGGACGACCCCACAACACTTTCAACATCCCCCTCTCTCTCCCTCTCACTAACTAAAACATTAATCATAATTAATACACAACTTAACATACCACAATAACACACCCATTAACACTTTATTATAAACCCAAGAATTATTATGATTGACTAAAATTTTGGCACTCACGTGCCATTTACCTAGAGCCCATATCCTTTCCATAAACCCTAGCTAAACCCCGAACTCGATACCAGAGAGAGACTGAACACACAACAATGGCAAGCCACGCTAATCGTCTGATTATCTCCAGATTAACGCCGACGACGACATCGAGATGCTATTCTACGCCGACAGCGTTGACTGTGACCAAAGGCAAAGAGGACTCACTGTTCCGCAAGCTCTCCGCTCTCGGCTACGGCGGCTCTGGCTCAGACGCCGCCGTAGCCGACACTCTCGACGAATGGGTAAAGCAAGGTAAATCCATCAAGAGGTTCGACATCATCAGCTGCGTCAATCATCTTCGCAAGTTCAAGAAGTACCACCACGCTATCCAGGTCTCTCTCTCTCTCTCTCTCTCTCATATACAAATATATGTATGCTAAAATTTTTGTTATTTCAGGACCTAATTGACCTAATTAATTTTACTTTGTTAATCATTTTGGCGATTCCTGAATTGCATAGATAGAATGAATTTACATTTGTTCATTACTGGTTAGTGTTTGATCTGTAATCATAAAATGTTCAATAATGGAAGATCGCATTTTAATGCTGAAGCTGCTGTTTGGTCTATACCCAGTGAAAGGGAAAGGGAAATATGGAGAGGGTGAAATGTATGTAAGTGAAACCACCTTTTCCCTATCCCTACCCAAATCATGATCCAAACACAACCTTAGGTTTTTTGTGAAAGCGTTATAAGGGCTTGATGGAGTTAGTTAAATCCAATTTATTGATGCCCATGTGATTGCGGCTACTCGGCTTCACAAGCTGCATTTCGTATCTATTGAGTGATATTTGAAGTTCTTCAAGTTGTAGAATTGTTTACTGCTTGATCTACTAGCCGTGCTGTGAATATCTGAATTTTTTGGGGAATGCATGACTTGTTACCCTAGTAACTTTTCCGGTCAGATAATTAACTCATTGAATGAGTTAAAATTCATGTTTCAAGCATATTTTGCGATCGAATCTGCTAAGCTGCTAAAGTGATTACAAACACATCTCAACTCTCAGCATATAATTTACTACTCTACTCAACAAGCCTTTGCCCCAATTGTGATAGGTATATGGCATGTCAATTGACTGAAAAAATGTTTGTCTTTTGTGTGAACCGTTAGTTCATTCAAATGCTAACCAATAACATACAGTTCCTTAATCCTCTCTGCTAGATGTTGTTTTGAATTTAATTGATGCCCTCTTCGACCTGCTCTTAAGTTTTTTTCCCCCCCAATAAATGCAGCTATATGAATGGATGGAAAAAGGCAAGAACAAAATGAACAATGCTGACCGTGCAATACGCATAGACCTTCTTGCCAAGGCCAATGGGGTGGCCTCAGCTGAAAAGTATTTCAACAGCCTCGAAGGATCTGCAAAGACTATGAAAACTTATGGAGCACTTCTTAGTACTTACTGCAAGGAGAAAATGCTAGATAAAGCTATCGAGCTTTTTGAGAAGATGAAAGAGCTAAGTTTTACATCTGCTTTAAACTATAATAATATGATGTCTCTTTACTTGAACCTTGGCCAACCTGAAAAAGTCCCTTCCCTAGTGAAAGAAATGGAGGAGATGAACATTGCTGCAGATAAATATACTTATAATCAATTGATGAACAGCTATGCTTCTCTGAATGATGTAAATGCAGTAGAGGAAGTTCTTGAGACGATGAAAACGAAGAAGGTAATACCTGATTGGTTTACATATGGAAATCTAGCAACCATTTATGTCAATGCAGGGCTTATTGATAAGGCCAATGATGTTCTCGAAAAATTGGAGGATGAGGATATGTTAAATGGCCTTGATCGTGAAACTTTTCATACTCTCATCACTTTGTATGCTCGAACCTCTAATTTGCTGGGGGTTAATCGAGCATGGGTGTCTTTGAAGTTGACCTTTGCAAAACCCAATAATGTTAGCTATCTCATCATGCTTTTGGCTCTCTTCAAGCTGGAAAATGTGGATGGCCTCGAGAAATGTTTTGCAGAGTGGGAATCAGGTTGCTCAACCTATGATGTCAGGTTAGCGAATATTATTTTGGAATCTTACCTTAATAGAAACATGATCGAGGAAGCTAATGCACTTTATGAAAGTGTGGTCAGTAGAGGGGTTCAACCTAATTTGAGGACACTGAATCTTTTCACAAGCTACTACTTGAAGAAGCAACAGATGGATCTGGCTTTGAAGTTTTTTGAAATAGGTGTATCTAAAATGAGTTCAGAGAAAAGTAATTGGTTTCCAACTGATGAAACTGTTAGTATGTTTTTGAAATACTTTGAGGAGGAAAAGGATACAGAGAGTGCTGAGAAGTTCTGTGAGATCATGAAAAAGATTGGACGTCTCGAGTCCAATGCCTCTGTTTCTCAGCTTCAAACATGTATTGCTGCTGGAAAAGTGGGAACCCTGAAGTTGAGAAGATGCTCCATTTAATGCGGTCTGAGTAAGCTGGTGCAAGTTAACTAATTCAACATTGCAGGAGCTGTTTTGAATGCTATGGTTTTAAACTTGTTTATGTTTAATAGGAGTTCAAAAATTCATAGCACTCGGCTATGGTCCAATGTTGGTTTTGAAGTGTCAAATGAAGCAAGTAGGAATTTTTCTCTTCTTTTCCTGCTTTTATCCGTGCATACTTGGGGCAACTTTGTGGTGCTGGACATTTTGATTTTCTTGATCTAGGTTGAGTTCTGTGAGGTGACAATTACTGCCTCACAATTACCATACTGTTTTCCTCAACATATGTATCTATATCTATAAGAAGGGGGGTAATTATTCAGTAATTTCGGAGTATAGATATGTGATATTTCATAACATTGTGATTGGTGGAGAAGGTGGGTAAGTGAGATATTGTGTTGGGTGATTGAGTAGCATAAGGGGCATATTGAATGATGATTGGTTAAAGGCCTGTTTGTTTGGAGGTATAGGAAGGGGATTGAGACTACTAATACTTTGGTATTACTAATACCTTGTTTGTTTTGAGAGATAGCCTTGAGAGTACTAATACCTTGGTATTACTAATACCCTTGGAAGGGGGATTCGTAGTGAAGAGGTAGAGATTGTATTAGAAAAATAGTGAGGGGATTAGAAATTTTTTTATTTTTTTTATTTTTTATATATTGGGATTTTTTTATAAATATTAATGTTTAATTTTTATATTTTTTTATTTGTTTTATTATTTTATATAAAAATAATTTAACAATTTCTTATTATTAATCCCCTCACTAAAAATCCCCTCACTATTAATCCTCTCACTATCAATCCCCTCCATTCTATCTCTGAAAACAAAGGGGGCCTTGTACGTGATATTCTGGGAATATTGAATAATTTTCCTATAAAAAGAGTGGTGCTATTAACATCCCATGAATTATTTTGGACTCCCACTTATAAATTTTGAAACCCTTAAAAAAAAATTTCCTCTCCAAATAATATCAAAATTATCCTTAAACATTTTACCCATTGAATGCACACCTCCCATATCCTTAAAAAATCTCCCTTCCAAAAAATCATAACAAAACTCACTAAGAAGAAGAAAATCATAACAAAACTCACTAAGAAGAAGAAGAGTCTCATTCTTTTCAAAACCCACGAAGAACAAGAAGAAGAAGAAGAATGTTGTCTTTGCCGGTTTATCCATTGTCACAGTTAGTATGTGTTCTCTCTCTCACACACACATTGATTCTTCGAAATTGAAGCTATCGAACTTGAAAAAATAAAATTTCTGCGAGTGTTAAGAATTTTAACTGTTGAAAGTGTTAATAAATTTCCATGTTTGGACTTGCATTCCCGAACAAATAATCTATGTTCGAGGATGTATTCACGAACAAATAAGTAATGTTCGAGTCTGTATTCCTGAACTTAAAAAATAATTTTTTTTATAAGAGTTAGCAATTTTGACCGTTCAATGTGTTAAGAAATTTTCATATTCGGATTTGCATTCTTGAACATTACTTATTTATTTGGGAACAATTTCGAAACAAATAAGTAATGTTCAAGCCTGTATTCCTGAACTTGAAAAAATAAAAATTTCTATAAGCGTTAATAATTTTGACCGTTCAATGTGTTAAGAAATTTCTATATTTTGACTATTCAATGTAAGTAATCAAATGGTTGCCACCGTTATTGTAGTAATATTGCTGCCAAAGAGTTTTCAAGGTTTGTTAACGCTTACAGAAATTTCTATGTTTTGACTATTCAATGTTGGTAATCAAATGGTTGTAACCGTTACTGTAGTAATATTGCCGCCAAAGGATTTTCAAGGTTTTGAAGGTGGGTAGGTTTTTAAGGTGAAATTTGGAGAAGATGGATGGGTGGTGATAAAGGTGGGTGTTCTCATAAACCCTAATTCATGATGTATTGGGTGTGTAGTGAGATGAGATGTTTCAAAATTAATGATGTCCTTTATAGTAATTTTATTTGAGGTTATTACTGTAATAAAAAAAATTAAAAATTAGGGGATCCAAAATAATTTATGAAGTGCTAATAGTAGCACTCATATAAGAATTACTTTACTCCATAAGGCTCGTCTTTTTTCCCCCTATTTTGCCCTTCAGTTTGTGTTCTTATTTTCTATTTTGCCTTTCAATTACTACCTAGAATTAATTGGGTGCAAGGCTTTTTGGAAATTATGCAAGAATTTTGGGTTAATTTTGATAAATTTTCAATGTGACTCCGTACAGTGGCCTAACATATATGGACGGACCCATTCAATGCACTTCACTAATGGCTTAGCCTAATAGTCCAAAACATGGGCTTGACTCAGTAATCAGAGATCATCAAACAAAAAAAAAGCACATATCAATAAGTCTCATACACAAAATTTAAAATTTATCTAATCTTAAAACAAAATACTTACATCAATTAGTCTTACATATTTTTAATTGTTACCAAATTTTTATTTTTTATTTTTTATTTTTGTAACTTTAAAAATGCTGCTACATCCAACGACTTCCGTTAGACTCACTGAAGACTCGTCAGAATATTCAACATCACCGGGAAGTCATCGGAGCATCACGGGAAGTTCGCCGGAGTGTTTTGAACATCACCAAAAGTTCGCCGAAGTGTTCTGAATGTCATTAGAAAATGTCAAAACATCATCAAAGACTCACCGGAATATTCAAAATATTGCCCCCCCAAAAAAAGAATAAATAGAGAAATTATAGTTAAAAAACATAACAACAACAAACAACAATGGAAAAAAGTATATATTATTTTTCAATTTTTGTAGGGTTTAAGCAAATAATTTATAATATTGATCAAACTAAAAAGTAAACTTTGAAACTGTAAAATGTTACAGTTTCAAAGCATTATTCCATTAAGTTGGAAAACATGTTATGAAATTGTAAAATTTATAGTTCTAAATAATGTTATGAAACTGCAAAATTTTACAGTTTTAAAACATAATCATTTTAGTACCAAAAAAGTTGAAACTGTAAAATTTTATAGTTTTCACTGCATATAATTAAGACTTAAAAATAAATTATTCAAAACTTGAAATTTTTCTCCATTAAAAAAAATAAAAAAATTTGACGTGTGTAATACAGAAAAGGCAGAAAAATTGAGAAATCAAAGGAAATAATAGATTTAGAAAGAATATTGTACCCTGACAATTATTTTTGATTTAGATCTAGTTAGATCTTATGTAGATCTACTCAGATTTGATTTAGCTCTGAGTAGATCAACATTAGATTTGAGTAGATTTACTCATCTTCTTCACTGTCAGGGAGGATGAAGTAACGAGTTGATGTCGGTGGTTAGTGGTTGCCGGTGAACCCCAATCAATGGTGGTCGTTGGTCATCGGTGACTATATATTAGAAAGAGAAAGAGAAAGAGAATAAGAAAGGTGTGATCACCGGTCATCGGACATGACAAAGAGAAGGAGAGGAAAATGCAGAAAAAAAGAGAGAGATGAAAATGTAAAGAATGAGAGAAACGCAGAGAGAGAGGAAAACGTGTAGGACTTTTGGGTCTACTTAAAAAATTATTGGATTAAATAGTGTACGCATATTTCAAATAGGACCTATAGGTAATTTTTCCATAAAAAAATACATAAATAAATAACTACTTATAATTAAGAGTTGAGATTTTTCAGAGTCATTTTTTTTTTAAAAGTGATTTAGAGTAGTTGTTTGTATACTTTTGACTATTATATCTTCAACTTTCATAAAATTAAATATCAGTCATCTAAAAGAAAACTGCAAAACCACTTTAGATAATTCGGACTCATAACTAAAGTCATAACTATTATATCTTCAACTTTCATAAAATTAAATATTAGTCATCTAAAAGAAAACTGCAAAACCACTTTAGATAATTCGAACTCATAACTAAAGTCATAATAAGGAGGATGGTTATTACCCGTGCTCACAAAAAAAATGCATGCATTGATTGTATAGCTCAGAGAAAATGCAGTATCAATTTCAAGCAGCCGTAACAGTTTTGCTAAGGTTAAAAATCCTTCAACACTTATATGGGTTTGGTTAAAAGATTTGAGGGGATTTAGAAAGAGAAAGAGAAAGAGAAAAGGTGTGTGAAATTAAGTGAAATATAGGCATGTTTTATTCACATTTCACATATCTTTTTCATTTCCTTTTACAAATCCCTCCCTAAATCCCCCAACCAAACACAGCATAAGTATGTAACAACTTAAAAGTTAATATCTATTATATCACATAATTGTGAATTGAATTGTGTGAGCTTTAAGTCTCAAACATTTTTTAATAATGTGATAAAAGAATTTGGTCCCATATCATTGAGTATGTAATTACAACTTCATTTATCATGTCATAACAAATTACAAGTAGATATTTACTATACCATATTATTGTGAGTTAAATTGTGAACACTTTTTGAGAGTATCAAACATGTTCCTTGTCCGTTACAATTTACAGAATTTGTTCCTTATTTTTTTCCCCAAAACAAAGATTCCTATCAAATTAAATAACTTTGCATATTATACTATTTTAATACTAAATTGAATACTATTTTAGTTAGCATGTTATCATAAAAATCATAAAAAAATTATTAAAACAAATTTTTAAAATAAGGTTCAGTTTTTTCAAAAGTCTTGGTAAACATCTAAATTTTTCTTCTGTTTTTTTGAAAAATTTCAAAAACAAAATTAGGCAAATAAAATGGACTTTTTTTTAGAGAGAGAGTGAAGGGCCTAAACTTTAAAAAAAAAAAGAAAAGAAGTTCACTAAAAGCAAAAAAAAAAGCTATAAAAAAAAGAGTTAACTTTTTAATGTTCCTTTTCCTTTTAATCAAACAAATTGTCTTCAAATCCTAAATCCAAATAAGCCAAAAAAAGAAAGAGAGAAAAAAAAAAAAATCTATCATATTACAAAATTAAACTGCAACAGAATCTTTGTAAAAAAAAATAAAAACACAACTATTGACATAATTCATTATAAATTTCTATTATTCATAGCAAATGTGTCATTATCGCGTTCAATAATTTCAACCCACAGACCTTTAGAAATTTAACAGATATATACCGAGATATACAACTATACACACTATATTATACTTCTTTTTAAACCAAACATTAAAAGCTTAATGTTTAATCTAATGGATGCAGCTTGCCTCCAGTCTGAGATCGAACTGGACGGTGCTGTTCGGCCCGTGGAGGCCTATCACGAGTCCCGTTTTGATAATCTAAACCGTTCAATGTATAGAACTTGTCAAGTATTATATGCCTGTAAAAAATCACGTTGATCGAATATCGATAACTATGTGATCAAATCAGTTTTGTATAAAAAAAGAATGGACGGTGAACAAATTAACGATTGACAAAAAACTGAACCAATGAGATACCTATCGATATCCGATCAACGTGATTTTTTACAAATGTATAGTATTCGACGAGTTTTACACATTAAATGGTTTGGATTATCAAAACGGGACCCGTTGTGGGCCTCCATGGACCAAACAGGATTTCGGACTAGAGGCAAGCTGCTTCCTAATCTAATTGTTGAAAGTTCCAAAACCAAACATGAAAATTCCAGAACATTAAAGAAATCTGAGAGTTCATTCATCAACCTAGTTAATGAAAAGGGTAATGCTGGAGATACCAAATTTTTTACCAAACAAATAACCAAATATCTCATCTGGGTGTGAGATCCGCAATTTGTGGACCCCACACACATGTGAGACATTTGATAATTTGTTTGATAAAAAATTTGGGACTTATAGCATTTTTCGTAAAAAAAAAATGCTATGAATCCCAAATAATCTACCAAATATTTTATCAAATCTCTGTATAAGATCCACACAAATTCACATGTGTGTGTAGATCCCACATTCATGCGAGAGGTTTGGTAAAATATTTAGTAAATTATTTAAGATCCCTAACATTACTCATAAATAAAACATATTACATATGATATAAAAAGATGTTCAATATATTTAATGTAATGTTTAAATGTACATTAAATAAATATATATAGAGAATTTGCTTATATATATGTGGAGAGTTTTATTAATGATATGTTTGGTGAATGCTACAATATAAACGGATCAATTTATTTAATCTACTATATCATTCACTTTCGAAAAGATTTTTTTTTTTAGCATAATAATTTCAAATAATATTTAATTAATTGAAATGAAGGTTAAATGCCATTAAATTGAAATGAAATTATTTTTTTTAACCCCTACCAAATAGTAACTCCATTATATTCTGCTTCTATTAAAACAAACACTACCTTAAAGTAATAAAAAAATAAAAAATAAATTGCCAACTTGCCCATGCAAGCACGGGCCTAATTCACTAGTGTGTGTATATATATATATATATATATAGAGAGAGAGAGAGAGAGAGAGAGAGAGAGAGAGAGAGAGATGTATGCTACTTTACTACAAAACCAATTTACAAAAGTGATATGATTTCTTATTATTTTCATTCTCAATAAAAAAAAAAACTTAAATGACAAAGTGGCATATCAACAATCTAATAACATTATCCAACTCACATTAAAACAAAAATAAGGCCATATCATCAGGGGTTGGGGGAATAAAAATAAAAACAGAGACGGCAAAATCTGCTATGAACCTATCAAAGATGATCTATGGGGGTAAAGGGGATAGATTTGGATTTAAAGAGCCAGTAACCAACAAACACAGAAACACAAACGGCGACTACAGATAAGAGAAGAGCAAAGGCACTTGCAGCATTCGAAGAGGAGTTTCCTGAAGCCCCTTTTGAAAGGGCAGAACTGCCTGGGGAGATATCTAACGGCACCCAATCACAGCTAACCGAATAGTGCTGCGCCCCACGCCATGGATTCCCATCAACTGGATACCAAAATGCGACTGAAAACTTGCTGGATTGACCGATGGTGAATTGAACATCCTACATTCACAACAAAAACAAGTGTTAATGAATTCATTTTTTATGCAATGCATATTCTAATTTAAGAATTCTAATGTGTTTTAGAGCTAACCTATGGCCAGCGTCTATATTCACTGGCACAGCTGGGCAAGCATTGCGAAGGATATTTTGGTCATTTTGTGAGAATAAGATGAATTCTTTCCACAACATTTGGTTGCTTCTATTTACACCACCAAAACAACTCCTTACACCCCCCTTTTTTTATTTTTTTTATTACAGTTTTATTCTTACATAAAATTATCTTAAACACCTCAAACCCTAAAATTCTAAAAACATAATCCACCCCATACTGCCACCTCCATCAGTGCTGCCAATCCCTTCCCTTTGCCCCATCACCTTGCAACCCCACAACCACACCTTGTAGAGAGAGAGAGAGACAGAGAGAGAGAGAGGATTCGAAGTGGCAGCTTGGGTGGTGGCAGGAAGGGGAGAGGGGCTGATTTGCGATGGTGGGGGCAGGAGGGCTGGATCATGTGGCGGGGTAGGTGGGAAGAGGTAGTGTTTGAAATGCTAGAGGGTCTACAAAGAAAATCAAAAGAGGGATGCGAATATATTTGGGATTATGAAGGGTGTAATGAGATAAAATGCAACTTTGAATTTTGGAGGAAGGTGTAACTGAAAAAAAGAAAAAAAAAAAGGCATGTAAGAAGATGAAAGTGTTGCGTAAATATAAGCGCCAGAGCATTTGGGTTGCATTCAGTTTTGCTTAATGAGGCTATTGCCATTTCTTTCATATCATTTTGCAATTGCTGTGGGTACAGACTGGACCACTTCATTTTTATTGAATTCAACATGCACTAGCATCTGACCCTCACCAATTCTAACTATTACCAGCCTGTAATAAAGGGGATTTCTGAACTCAATGTCACATAGCAAGATAGATATGAAACGAGGCATTAAAGAGCACTGAACCTGTTGAAGTCGGTCCATTGTTCTCAAAGGCCTTGAAAATTCAAAGTAGTATGTTCCCTTTTGACCAGCTGATGCATAAGGGCTGTCTTCTTCTACAAAACCTGAGTCAACAATGCCAAAAATAAGCATTGCCATGCAAACAGCAATAAAAGCACACAAACAAATGAACCAAAAACGAAGGAAAACAGGGGAAAAAAAGAAAAAAAAGAAGAAGAACCAAACCACACGCACGTGCACGTGGACACATGCTTATGTACGAGGATTTAGACAAGCACAGCTGGCCTATTTTCAAAAAGCAGTAAACAGAAACAGAAGGGAAAACTGTTTCTTGTCATCATTATGAAGGAATGGGAACATGATGATAATGAGTGTTTTTGTTTTGTTTTGTTTTGTTTTTGTTTCTTTTAATATTTTAAAAACATTTTCTAGACTCAGTTTTCCATAGCCACACAGATGTTACATGAAGTGGGGAAAGGTTACCTGAATGTGTGGTAAAACTGTCATGCCACCATGCACCCTTCCAGTCATTTTGTGCACTAGAATCATTTCCTAGAGAGTAAAAATGGTTAAATTGCACTCTTTCTAAATAAATAACAACAAACCCAACTATAAGAGGAGACTAGGAATCTATAAATCTTCTTCAACACAAATGAAATTTATAAATATCACAGAACATCAAGATGATGGCATATGAACAGATGCACATAAGTTGATGGCATCCTTTTCAACAAAGCTGGACACTACATTTAAACAGGTGGAGTGTATTAGTTAAATCCACTTTTGTGGTTTTCAACACTACCAATCCCAAGGTTGAATGAAGGAGGGTTGTGTGCTCAATTGTCAGACAACCAACATGAAAAAACCCCCCGTCGGATCCCTTATGAGCATGAATCCCTGCATTGTGCTGGCCTTTGACCATTAGAAAAATGGGCAAGGGGCACCACATTTTCACCTGAGAATGCTGAAAAATATGCAGGGTCCCATGCTTCTCTGGACAAGCACGGGTAAAGATACTAGTCTAGGATTTCAAGTTTAGATTAGCAACTTAAGAGTATCAGAAGGAACATTAACATGTAAAAATAATGGAATTAGTGGATACTATGATTAGAATGAAAATTAATACAACATGCTTGCAAGAACTAAGTGGGTAGGTGAGAAAGTAAAGGAAATAGTAAATAACTGGTACAAACTTAACTATACCAAAAAAGAAAAAAACACACATAGAAATGGCGTAGGAAGAATAGTAACTAAACATCTTAAAGATAATGTAATTATAGTTACTAGGAAAGGAGATAAAATAATACTAATTAGACTTGTTGGAGAAAATGTAATTAATGTAATGCCAATGCACCCCAAGTAGGATTGGATGAACATATGAAAAGAAAATTATGAGATCAAATGGATAAATTGATGCAAGAGACAATTGTAGCTGAGAATGTAATTATATGTGGAGATTACAACGGTCATGTAGGAAAGGATAAACAAAGTTACAGGAGGGTGCACTGTTGATATGGTTTTGGTAATTGAAACGAGGCTGCAGAAAATATTTAGATTTCACAATAGCATTTAACATTATAGTAACCAACACTTTCTTCAAAACGAGTGCGGAATACAAATAACTTTTAAAATTTGGTAAAAAAAATCAATAAATCACTTTCTTAGAAGAAAACATACCGCTTAATATGTAAAAGATTAGAAGGTTATCTCAAAAGGGGTTTAACATCTAGGTATGCTAGAGGCTATTAACACTAGATATCTACATTAAAGAACAACATCGAACAAAAAAAGATATTAGAAACCCTTGCGGAGTGCCGGCCCCGGCCACCAATACAGTACCATGCTTACCAGCTCATACCATTGCCACCTAAACTAAAAGTATAAAAGGTGAGAAATTGGGGTTTGCTTATTTAGTGGTTTTTGTTTTTTTTTTTTTGGGATAAATCAGTGGCTTTTTGACTTTTTATGAAAAGATGTGCAGAACAGTAGAGAAGTGATGTGATAACTTGTAATAAATAAGCAAATAAGCTGCTTAAAACCAAAGCAACATGAAATTTCGAAGATGAGTCTATTAACATGTGGAATTCAATAATGGAGTGCATTAAAAGACTATCAAAAGAAGTCATTCAAGACTCAAAAGAGAAAATGTCTATATCTATAGAAATTTGGTGGTGGTGCAATGAGGTGTAGTAAAATTCTTTAAAAAGTGACACACACACACACACACACACAAAGAAAAAGAAAAAGAGCAAAGAAATCTTAAAAGACGTAAATGAGCTAACAAGGAGGTTAAAAAGATAGACGATCTTTATAAATATTAAATACTCCAGCAAAGATGGAGAAAAAATATTTACAAACATGTTGAGAGAAAAATAAACAAAAGACCTTAATAAGATTATATGAAATATGAGGATTCAGAGGTGAAGGATGATGATTAGGGAAAGGTGAAAAACTATTAAATGAAAAGATTTTTTTTTTTTTTTGATAAATAAACAAACTTTATTAGAAAGCATCAAGATGATACAAATAATAGAACTGAACACGAAAGGAAAAAACAAAACCATCTAATCAAACCCTCCACAAAATCAACGAAGACCAAAACATTGGGATCGATTGTACCCGTAACCCAATTATGCAATATCATCTACAACCGACTCTCTAACCAAAAAGCGGAATGACACTCATCCTGAAACACTTGCCTATTTCGTTCTACCCAAACCATCCAAAGAAAACAATGGGAAGCAAGCACCTAAGCCTTCCTACACCGCTTTCGCACCCTAGTCCCACCCCAACTCTGTAACACTCCCATTAAAGTTTCTGGCTTCACCCAGACAAAGCCAAACAAAGCAACAAGAAAATTCCAAAGTCTGGACACAACCGGGCAATGAAGGAGTAAATTATCCACTGTTTTCGCATCCCTGTAACACATACAACACCAATTGACCAACACATGCCGCCGCCGGATCAAATTATCAATAGTTAGGATACGCCCCAATGCAGCTGTCCAAACAAAGAACGCAATCTTAGAAGGAGAACCCATAGCCCAAATACATTTCCAAGGAAACACCCCACCACCTCCCTCTTCAAGCACCCCAAAAAAAGAGGACACTGAGAAGACCCCTTGAGAGCTCCAGACATCCCATACGAAAGAATCCATCCCATCCCCCACATTCTACAGTCCATACAAAAAGCCGAGAAGATCTACCAATTGGTCGAGCTCCCAATCTTGTATATGACGATGAAGACGAACATTCCAACCAACTGATGCCCCATGGATCTCTCGAACCAAAGCAACCATCTCCTCACCAGCAACAGCAATAGCAAAAATCAAAGGAAACATGGCCGCCAAAGTCAAACCATCACATCATTGATCTTGCCAAAAGCGAACTCGCTCACCACCCGCCACTTTAAACCGTACTCTATCCCAAAACACCTCATTTCCCAACCAAATTCCCTTCCACAAACCACAACCATGAGATTGGACCACCTTCTTCGAACACCAGCCCCCCTGCTCCTCCCCATACTTAGCTGCCACCACCCTCCTCCATAACCTCTCCCGTTCCTCCGCAAAACGCCACAACCACTTACCCAATAAAGCCTGATTAAACACCACCAATTTCCGCACACCCAAACCCCCCTGCTCCTTCAAAGTACAAACCCTCTCCCAAGCCACCAAACGATAATGAAAACCCTCCGCACCCCCACTCCACAAAAAATCCCGTTGCAACTTCTCTAACCGCTTTGCCACCTCCACAGGAATCACATGTACAGACATAAAGTACGTCGGAATGCTGGACAAAACACTCTTGATCAGAGTAATTCGCTCCCCTTTTGACAAGTATTGGCGCTTCTACCCTGCCAAACGCCGTTGAACTCTGTCCACCACTCCAGCCCACACTCGAGTCTCCTTAAAAGAAGCCTTCAAGGGCAGTCCCAAATAAAAAAATGGCAACCTTGCCACTTTACAACCTAAGCCAGCGGCCAACACCGGCAATTGAGGCACCTTACCTACAGGTATCAATTCTGATTTTGACAAATTAACCCGCAGCCCTGACATCGCCTCAAAACATAACAGAACACAACGTAAATTGCCAATCTGAGTAGCCTCCGCATCACAAAAAATCAACGCATCATCAGCATAGAATAGGTGGGAGACCACCAATGAGGCAGACCCCTCACCTACCACAAAACCTGATAATAAACCCCCTTGGACCACCCTTGAACACAGTCAACTCAAAGCCTCTATAACCAAAATAAACAATAATGGGGACAGTGGATCTCCCTGCCTCAAACCCCTCAAAATGGGGAAGAACCCTGCCGCCGTCCCATTAATTAGGACAGCCATTTGAACAGTGGAGATACAAAAATGTATCCACCGCCTCCACCGCTCCCCAAAATCCAACCTCTTTAACATGTACAGCAGGACCTTCCAATTGACATTATCGTAAGCCTTCTCAATATCTAACTTATATATAATACCCCCTGTCCCTTGCCGAAGGCGCGAGTCCACAAACTCATTAGCCACCAAAACCGCATCCAAAATCTGCCACCCACCTACAAAAGCATTTTGGGATTCTGAGATCACCCCCTCTAACATCCCCTCCAACACCCCCCGAAGCCTGTTCGCCAAAACCTTAGCCAATAATTTATAAATACTGCCCGAAAGACTAATAAGCCGAAAGTCTCTAATATCCTCCTCCCCCCCTTCTTAGGGATCAAGGCTATGAAAGTGGCATTCAGGCTCCTCTCAAATTGCCCAGTTTGATGAAATTGCTCAAACACCTCCAATATTTCCCCTTTAACCACCCTCCAACAATGCTGAAAAAAAGCAATGGAAAAACCATCCAGGCCCGGCGCCTTATCCCTAGGCATACTTCGTAACACACCTAAGACCTCCTCCTCAGTAAAAGGCCTCTCTAACAAGAGCTCATCCTCCTCAAAAATAAATAAAAAACCACACCATCCAACCCCGGACACCATATCTGACCCTCATCACGAAAAAGATGCTGATAGAATGCCACTATACCATCCCTAACCTCTGCTTCCGACGAAAGTAGCACCCCATTAACCCGCATTCTCCCTACTTGGTTCACCTGCCGATGAGCATTCGCCATGCGATGAAAATTTTTTGTATTACGGTCCCCATCTTTCAACCACAAACATCAAGACTTCTGTCGAAAACTAATTTCCTCCATCCGAGCAACCCTCGCATAATCTCTCCGAGCCACATCCCTATCTGCCATAGCCTCTACAAAAAAATCCCCCTCAATTTCCCGCTCATCGAAACCCTGCAAAACTAACAATGTTTTGCTTCTGAACCTCCAAACGACCAAAAACCTCTATATTTCACCTCTTCAAATCAGACTTAAGAAATTTCAATTTCTGAGCTAATCTATAATTAGGTGAGCCCACCGCATTATAACTCCCCCACCAACTACCCACCCGATTAGAAAAGCCAGCTGCTTGTAACCACATGTTCTCAAATCGAAAAGGCGAGGGACCGCTTCGGACACCCCCACTGTCCAACAAGACAGGCCAATGATCAGAAGTCG